CTTTCAGGGTTAGCTCGTAAGTAGGGTTATTTACTATTCATAAATACCATGAAGCATAAATAGCTTAGCAAATTTGAGTCATTCTGCTGCAAAACAGAAAACAATAAAAAGGTTTAAAGTATCAATCATAAATAAACAATCTTAGCACTCATGGAGAGTATAATTTATTCAGAAAAAATGATTCAACAAACACTTGCAATGAATGTGCTTGGGGGGAGTGTAATTTTTTTTTTGTGTTTACTTGAGAGCAGGAAATGGTAAAATCTAATCAGCTGTGTATATTTAGAAATGCCTGTGTAGAAATAACTTGCATCTGAGGAAGATAAGACATGATAGAGTAAGAGGCAGATATTCAGGATATATGTCAGCTCACCCAAGAAGTTTTGCCCAGGGATATTTGGAAGAGTTTTGAGGAGGACTTCCCCAATGCAGGATTAGGCTGTTGTCATGCCCAGTGAGGTGATGTAACTGGTTGTGTGCCAATGGAGCAGAATGGACAACTAGACTTTGAAGAAGGCAAGTTGAAAGTCATTGGTTTCTGATGCTTCTGGCAAAGCCTGAATCCATCTTACTGTGCCACCAAATGGAATTGTTAAATTGATTCACACGAAATTTCTCCTGCCATCAGTTTCATTGTCTTTCTTATGTCAGGCACCATATGCACTAACAAGCTGGCCTGCTTACAGTATTCAGACATGATGGTGATTAAAGCATGTGGTCAGTAGCAGGGGAGAAAAATCATGCAGAATGTTGTGCTTTTTAATCTTTTTTCATTGCAAAAAACAATGTTCGGTTTATTAAAAGCCATTAAAAAGGCATTTCTCTGATCAAACGTCTGAGACTTAAAGGAAAGCCAGACTGCTGTCCTGGGAAGAAATGGTTTAGTGATCAGATGTCTAGTGAGTGATTAATGGAAGAATATTAAACCTATTTAATTTTATATATATTTGCTTTGATGTAAAGGCTGTTTTCTCTAATGATTTTGCTGCTCCTGTTGATGGTTTAACTGTAGTTACAACTGCAAGCTGCAAAGTGAGAGGGTCTTGCATGCAGTGTGTGAGTGAACTATGCTTAAGTTTATACTGAATTAGACATTCATGAATTCTATAATTAACATAGAGCTGAGTGACTTAGAATCATAGAATGATTTGGGTTGAAAGATACCTTAAAGATCATCTTGTTCCAATCTCCCTGCGTGGGCAGGGACACCTCCCACTAGACCAGGTTGCTCAAAGCCCCATCCAACCTGTCCTTGAACACTTCCAGGGAGGGGACATCTACGGCATGGTTGACTTTTTGGGCTGCAGGTGCACACTGATAGCTCATGTTGTGGTTCTCATCAACTTGCAGCCCAAAGTCCTACTCCTCAGGGCTGCTCTCAATCCATTCACCACCCAACCTGGTGTTAGTACTTGGGATTGCCCTGACCTAGGTGCAGCATCTTGCATTTGGTCTTGTTGAACTTCATGCAATTTGCACAGACCCACCTGTCAAGGTCCTTCCTTCCCTCCAGCATACCAACTACACAGCTTGTTGTCATCAGCAAACTTGCTGAGGGTGCACTCAAGCCCACTGCCCATTATCCAAAGATGTTAAACAGCGCCAGTCCCAATACCAAACACTGAGGAACATGCCTTGTCTCCTTTTGGACGTTGAGCTACTGACTGCAACTCTTTGAGTGTGACCATCCAGCCAATTCCTTATCCATCAAGTGGTCTATCCATCAAGTCTCTACATTTTAGAGACAAGGATGACAAGAGGAAATGGGGTCAAGTTGCATCAGGGGAGGTTTAGATTGGATATTTGGAAAAATTTCTTCACAGGAAGAGTGGTGAGGCATTGGAACAAGCTGCCCAGGGAGTTGGTGGAGGCACTGTCCCTGGAGGCATTAAAAAAACAGGTAATGTGGTGTTTCAGGAGGTGATTTAGTCATTAGGGGTTGTAGGGCAGATGATTGGACTTGATGATCTTGAAGGTCTTTTCCACCCTTCATGATTCTATGATTCTGTGTAGGACAATGTCAAACGCTTTGCACAAGTCCAGGGGGATGACATCAGTTGCTCTTCCCTCATCCACCAGTGCAGTAACCCAGTCACAGAGAAGCTTTTCCTCTGATTCTTTGCTCCTTGGGTGTTTTGTGCAAACCATTGCTGAGGACAGGATATTGACCTCAGTGAACAGCTGACATTGCACAGTATGGTTCTCTGTATATTCATGTATTCTCAGTGTGTTAGTCTGTTCCAGGTGATTCTCCTTGACAGGTAAAAATTCTAATGCTGTAGAGCCAGGTGCACACAAAGTTAGACAAATAGGTCAAACTAAATAGTGATGTATGTGATCCGTGGTGTGAGTGTCAAGTCGGGAATTAAAGGCTGTGCATGATTTCTCTCCTTAAAGTTCTTTAATTGTCATTAATTTTTTCATAGGGCCCAAGAGGTGGCAGTAAATCAGAGGCTGAAAATAGGTCAGCTAGTTCAACTGAGAGCATGCATCAAAGATGCACAGTCTTTCTATAAGTCTGTTATAAAAAGATCAGAGAGGAGAAGCTTGCCATAATTTCAGCTGTCTACAAAGTGAGTTTCTGTAGTTGATTAAGTAGAACTTCTCCAACTCACAAACCTTTAGGATGACATGGAAATTAAATCATAGCAGTGGAAGCAGGCAAATAGGTATATTAAATGAAAGAAATTTAGGCTCTAATAACTATTTTGTGTATTTGTTCCTATCATACAGTTTCCTTGGATACTGTGTGATTTCAGTAAAAATTAAGTTTGTCGCTGGCTATAGGGATGATTTCCTCACTAAAATTCATCAGTATTTTGAGGGCATCTTCACACACCAGTATTTCTATGCTGTCCTTAAAAGCAAGAGATAAAACTACTAGATGTCTTAGTCAAACACTATTTAAGGCTGGGGCCTCGGGGGTGGGGGGCTGAAAGTAGTCTCAGGTAGGGTATAAACTGTCTGAAAGAAAATGTAAGTACTATAATCCTGAGGATGATGAAGGCCTTCAGTAATCCCTATTTGTTTATAGTCAGATAGTGCTATAATTACTGTATTACTCAGTGAATATTATTAGTCTTAATGATTTCAAATGGGCGAATTTCTTGAGGTTGATAGCAGTATGCCCATGAAGAACTTCAGTTACTCTGTGAACAGTAGCTGAGATCAGCATTATAACTACCTTCTGAACAATAAAAGTGGAAAGATTTTTTTTCTGGGGAGGGGACGAGGATGGTGTGTTCGGGTCCTATGTGGAATGCATAAACTGTTTTTTTGGGAGACAAGCTGCAAAAAATGCATGACCATGGTGTAAATTAATTACACTTATAAAAACGTGATTGTGGTATCATCTCCATTAGCTTTTTGGCTCTGTGGAATGATTAATAAAATTTTAAAGCCTTGCTTTATAGCTGCTGTGGTTAGAATCTTAAAAAAAAATAAATCAAGTTTCCAGCAGCTGAAGATTTGTGATACACAATTAATTGCTTCAGATTCTGATATTTAGGAATTATTTGGAATCCTGAATCTGATTTTCTTGTGAAAAAAGTGAAGGCAAGTTTGACTCAAATTTTCTGGCTCGTGTTTTTGGTAGTATTTTTAATTTTTTTTAGCGAAGGCAATAGAAGTTGCCAGATTATTCTCTAGTATTAGTAATTATGTCCTGCATATTTTTATAGAAGATGTATATAACCTTAACTAGCAAAGCATATTTAATTGGAGGAAGAGGAATTAATCTTTCCATTATCAGTAGCAGTTCTGCAACTGCCGGTTGTCTGATTAAGTTTAGAAGGGTCTCCTCCTCCTATTTCCTCTGCATTCTACAGGGATTTTTTCCTGTTCTAATATACTGTAATGTAGGTCTTCCTATGTCTTGATGTAAAAATAGTCTTATTAGGCACAGAGCAGATAATTCTAAGGTGTATGTTAGCTCATTAAGTCTTAAGTCTGCCACCCCGCATAACCCAGTGAATTTACCACCTTGTGTCTCTGCAGAGAAATCCAGTATTTCTGGGTAAAGTAGGGAAACATTTATTTCTTTTTTATTTAATGGACTTCCATTGGTGTATGAATAAGGTAAATAATATTCAGATGCTTTTGACTACTGAGAGAATCACAATTGTATCCCCTACGAAGCAAATGGGTGAGAACATCAATGTGAACATGTTGCTAGTCCATTTTACTTGGCCCTAATTTCTGTAGCAATCATGCTACTTTTGAGAGACAAGAGTTGTGCCAAGGAATCAGGCTCAGCTTGTTATAAGGAAACAAAGCCAAGTGAGATCTGGAAGACACATAACTGCACCCTTATAACACTGTGTTTGGCTTCATAAGCATGGCCTTCAGTGAGGGCGTTCTCATACAGTTACACAGCTTTTGGCTTCTAAGTGGCTTATTTTTCTGTTTTTCAAAAAAAGATACTATGTCTGTAAAAGGCAGCAGGGAAAAAAAATTAATGAATTTTGCTTATTGCTGCATGCCACCTCATAAAAATTTGGGCCTTGTTAAAGGATATGTAAGTGTCACAGACAGTTTTAGAGTTATGGTGCTCAGATTAAGGTATTGCCCATTGGAAATTACTGAGAATGGGCTATTCATCTCCTGCTCCAGGAGTCCAAGGTTGCCCACAGGTTCAGCAGTGCAAGCAGCTGTCAGCTCATGCCATGGATAGAGAGATGATTCTCACAGTGGAAAGGAGTACAAACTGCACTGCAGATTTTTTTTATTTTTATTTTTTCTCTGCTGTGCTTGTGGGTTTTAAATGTTTGGTGTGTCAGTCTTTTCAGACTCAGTAGTGATCCCTTAGGACACCGGTGATCACCTTACTTCTGTCATGGTCTTGGATTTTGTCTGCTAAGATACTCTGTAGCCCAGAGCACATAAACAGTTTTGGTGGAGCTCAGTGTTGACATTAGAGACTTCAATACACTCAGCTCTAAACTGATTAGATCAGAGATCTAGCGATCCATCTGTTGTGCCCCAGGAGCTATTATAATTACCTGCGGTGTGGATCGCCCGCCCCGGCACACCCGCCTTGGCTGCCTCGGAGCGGCCGTAGCGCCCGCAGCCGCCAGATGGCGCTGCCGCCCCGGCGCTGAGCGCGGGCTGGGGGTGCGAGTCGGGCGTCGCTGCGCAGCGAGGCAGGGGGCTGGGGGCAGCCTCGCCTGGCGTGCTCACAGTCATGGGGCTTTCAAGGGGTTTCCATTGTCCGTTATACTTACCAAGTGCATCTCGAGTGTCTTGAAACATCTTGACCAATTCTGCCGGTCAAGTGGAGTTGTGCTGCCGTGCTCTGTAAGCTTAAGCAACGGTACTGCTAGTTAGTATCCTAAAAAAATAACAAAAAGCTTTTCTGGTTGAGTCCACTTTTCGGGAAGTCTCGCCTGAACCTCACAAGACTTTCATGGCCCAGCTGTGAAGCGGCATTAGTAGTACATCCCTTCTTTAGTGAGAAAGAACTTGCTCGTGGAGTGACATTCAGATATTTTAATAATAAGGCTATTTAAATCTAGGCAAACCCCACAAAGGAAGTAATTGCAGGGAAAAATTAACTTCAGTATGGTAAATAACGTGTAGCATCATTATGCATAATGTGCCTCACTAAGTTGCAGAATAATAGCTGTTTTCTTCACAATAATTCAGAGACTTAGACATTTCAACCTCCAAGCATATTTAAAGTGCCTTTATGTCACGTCTGGGACTGGAAAGTATTTGTATCAAAGACAGAGGGAACAGTTAATGCTTTTGTGATTCTACACTTTTTCTTTGCTTTTTTTTTCCTTTTTTGAACTGCAGTTGGGACCAAATTCCTTTGATAACTTTGTTTTCACTTTTGAATTCTGAGCAACTTCTGTCTCAAAATGATTTTATTTTGAAAAAAGTATGCTTTTCTGACTTGGGACTAATAAACAGATAAATGTCTAATTTTTTTTATAACATATTTCAGACTAACTGTTGCTAAGGCTTGCTGTCTAATTTAAAATTGGTCTTTCAGTCTTGCTGGAGATATAGCTGGGGTTTGATGTTATGAGTTCATCGAATTTCAGTTTTGTAACGATTTGTGTTCAATTTTAGCTCAAGTTTCAGCCCTCTGTTCCTCTGTGTTTACTGACTGCTGAATTGAACCAGCATACTGTGACAGAAGAAACAGATCAACTTCTATCGCAGACCGTACCTGCTGAAGGAAATTTGTTAGCTTTTTTTTCTTTAAAAGAAGCTATCTATGCTGAAAGGCTTGTATGTGCTGCTCTTTCGCACATGGAAAACACAGCATGGAGCTTCAAAATAAGTGAACTATATGAATGCTTGTTGGCTATTTTTTTCATACATCTCTAGTATGTGTCCAGTTCTGATGCTGCAAAGAACCGAACCCACAGCTAGTACCCCTGTTGCAGCAGCGTGATTTCAGCTTGCGTGTTATACTTGGAGTAGAATTTTGGATTACTGAGATTTTGCTTGTAGATGTTTTGGAGAAAAGACTGAGGAGAGGAAGAAAGCCCTACAGCATTTAGGTGGTCAGTTTCCCCCATTCATGGGGAAGGATTCCTTCAGAGTTTCTTGCACCAGTGAGTGGAGGGATGAACAATGACATACGCCGTGTAATATTATTATGTAATTCTTTACTAATTCAGGTTGCAAAAATGTTGGGTTTTCTGTTGGATAAACACAAAAGAGAATAAGACAGCAAAAGATTAGTTATATAGAAACTTTCTTTATATGTAATATAGATCAAGCAGATTGATACCTGTGGACAGTTGCATAAATGGATGCACTATGTTATTTTTTTTAATTGTCTCTCTAAAGAGTTTAGCAAAAGATGATGTGACTTCAAAGAGAATAAATAAACTAATCTCAATATAACACTGTTATTTTATATGAGTTTTCTAGACTATTTCATTCTATGAAACATTAAAGTAGAGATACTGATTACCATATTCACTTTATATTAAATGTCTCAAGAGGAGAATTAGTTCAAAGATGAGTGTCTTTGGGCATGAGTACTACAATAATACATATTAAAAAAAGAGAAACTGAATTGGAAACAGTGCTGAATATTTAAATGGCTGCAGCTGTTGCATTACAAACATGTCCTGTGCTTCTCTGGATCTAATGGACCAGAGTGAGTTTGTTTTCTCTACCATGCTGAGAGTCTGTACCTGAAAAATAGTGTAGTCTGCTGATTACATGACTTAAACTCAAATTTGCCCAAAGTTTGTGAAGAAACAACTTACCTCAGGGATTTATTTTTTTTTTAGTTATTTTGAAGTTAATGAGTTGAGCCTTACCTTTTCTCTTGAACTGACAGTGGCTTGTGTTCTATGGTCTGATTAGCTAACTTGTATGCATAACAGCTATATTCCAAGGCCTGGTATTAAAGTTTAATGGGTTACCTGATTAGATGAGAAGCCTCTGTCCTTCCTTTCGGTCTGATTTGCAGAACACAAAGCTATTAGCTTTGTAATCAGACACTGATCAAACTTCTGAACAGGTAGACGTTTCTTCCTGGAGTGCTCCTGATGAGTAGGCTGCCATTACTACTTGCAGGTAGCTTAAAACCAAGGGCATTGTGTTAAATGGTAAACAATTAGGGTGTCAAACCTAGTACTCCTACCTAGTTTATGTATTCTATAGGAAATGGCAAAGTTACCTTTTTATTCTGTTCTTCTCTTCTGGATGTTTGTGTATATATATATAAAACACATATAAATGTATAAACCCAACAGTTATTTAGTTCAATATTAGCAATAGTGGTGGTTAAAATTAGGTATATGGCCACACAGGTTCCTGTGATATCTATAGACTAGTCATATAGACCACTATTTCCAATAGTGGGCTCCTGTAATTCTTAGCCTAGCCAATAGATAGGTTCCTAAAAATTGTCTTGACGTTCAAAGTTCCTCAGTACATTCAGTTCTCAATGTGAATATAGCCATCTGACTCTAGGACACCTAATTTGAAAATGTTAGTTATGTCAGTCTCTCCATCTGTGAAACAGAAATATTAATTAGGTGAAGTTTAATGCATTTGAAAGAGTCTTGTGATCCTTGAGTGATCTCATGAAAATATAATTATTATAAAACCTCTCATGCATGAAAATTCTCTTTTTAGCTTTAGAAAGGTAGGTATTGCTGTCAAACATTTTTTTAATCTACTTTTGGCTAAGAAAAAAAGAAATAACAGACATCTGACTTGTAAAATAGGATATTGTTTATGTGAATTAGAAATAACAGACTTTGCTCATTTCTGTTAGGGTTGCTAAAAATCTTACTTTGAGATTAAATTAGTGAGACAATTTTTATTATTTTTTTCCAGAGCAAAAAGCATAAAGTTAGAAAGCACTGTAACAATTAGCGTTGTGCCAATGAAGGCATGTGCCTTGGAGGCTTAGTAATCCAATATAGTACCTTTTAATTAGAGGTCACTGGATTGAATCCAGTTCATGATAATTTAGTAATTTGGCATGATTTTGTTCAGAGGCCTAAGTAAAATCAGTCTTAAGGCCAGTGTAACTGTATTTTTAATTATCTACAAGCACAATTTTGTTGTTTTTCTTAACTAACCAGCAATAATTTTCTTAACTTGTCTAAACAGACAATAAATAATAACAGACAATAACATGTTAAAACAATCTTTCTATCTGATAGTAGGATAGAGAAGAACTGAGCATTTAATGGAAATGGATATACTTCTCATTCAGCTAGTTATTAAAATTAATACAGGATTAATGCAAGGGGTTTCATCCTGCAATAACTTAATAATTTTGATCTTCTGAAGCAAACTTCGAACTCTCTGAGATTGATGTGAAGAGTCTTCTGGAAATGTACAGATGTGGTGCACTTCCCTTCCCCACACCCCACTTTGTTCTGGGGATCCATGGTTTCTGAGGACTGATAACCTAATTCTGAGATAGCACAACCTGTCTTGAACTCTTCCATATGTTGTCTTAATTTTCTACTACTCGATGGATCTTTTGTCTTTTCCGATCTCCAATGCCAAATTACAGAAAACTTTCTTTTCAGTATCTGGTATTTGAACAATATTTAGACCTTGTTCTCTGCTTTGTAGTTTTAATTTTATTTGTCTTACAGAAAACTGTAGTAAAAAATGCCTTGTTTTGAATGATTTGCAGGCTTGCAACAACAGTCGTGGCAAAATTAGTTTCAGTTTCTTTCAGTTTTCTATTGTTTCACCTCTCCCTACTTAGGCAAGTGTGTCTTTGGGAAACAAGAAGTCTACATTGTAAACTTGCTTCCTGCCTGCTTCTGGAAAGGGCAGTTGTGTTGATTCAGTGCAAGTCTTTAAGGGTGCAGAGGAAAATGCCAAGCTGTTTCATGACCCATGGATGCATCTGACCTCGTATGACTGGAAACTGAAAAAATAAAAATCTCAGTGTTTCTCCATTTCTTTTCCATTAGTTTCCTAAAATTGCAAGTTTTATTTTTTGAAATGTAAGTAATTCAGCAACTGCGGCTTAATATGAATAAACACAGTATGTGTGTGAACTACAGTGAATGTACATCAAATTACGTACCTCATACATAATGTCACCATGCCATAATCCTGAGAGCTGTATGAAGTCTTAAATCAAATTACATTTAGAAAAGTAACTGGATGGTTCTCTTGCATTTGCACCTGCTTTTTGAAAAGAAAAATCTCAGATTTATAGAAGTTTTATGCGTATTCTGGTTAAGCTTTTATGAGATGATATCTCTGCAAACAAGAAATCAAATTTCAAAGGGTAAAGGAAAGGGACAAAGCAGATATGACAAATGACTAATTTAGCCTATCTTGTCTCTCAGACTGTCTGCTAAATTTCTTTTCTTCCCGTGTGCTTTAATGGAAAGCTGGAGAAAGAAGTAAATAAAAAAAAATAATGTTGACTAACCTTACAGTAAAATCTTGTGATGGTATGTTCTTCACATCAGTTATGAAGCCTACAGAATGAGCAGGGGCTTTATGCTAAGGCTGGGGAGAAATAACCCCAGGCTGGTGATGCCAAGGCAGAACTTTTGAGAAGTTTCAAGTTCTGCATATAGTAGCATCAGTGGAAACCCCACCACTTGCCTGAGCAGTTACAGTGCTATCATTGTGAACTCTCAGTCCTTAAGCCAGCACTTGAACTGATGTGGACTAGAAGAAAATGCTTGTCTGAATAATTACAAATAACAAACATCTATAAAAATGGCATGGCCTTTGTGGACAGTTTGAATAGTGAAAGAGCTACATTTGGAGACTAAATTGTTTATTGT